AGTGTGATTAATATACATTCTTAAGCTCGGAAATCAGGCTATAAGAACACATTTTTAAAAATTTCATTGAAGCTATCACATACACTCGCATTCCAAAGATTTACTCATGAAGTTTGGCGTGAAATAATGTATCGTGACCATGCACCTTTTACAATAGACAAATGGACTGATGCAGTAGTGTAGAAGTACAGAAAAAGATTACACGGACATGTCTGTATTTAGAATTGCATGGAATAAAAAGTTGAAAGCATAAAGAATAAAGGAAGTAAACACAATAGTTTTCATCAGTAACAGACTATTTCTTCTGCTAATTGTTATTTTTAAAACTCAAGTAACAAATTCCTATGTGAATATGCTTGAACAAAATTTAGCTGGCTAGCTTCCATCCTAAATTTTCGCACTATGAGAAAAAAAAAGGGAAAAAAAACTTCAATGAATGTAAGGTAAACATTGATGATGTCTTGTATACATTGCGCTAGTGTATAGTGGTTTCAATATTATATTTTCACGCAGGCGATCTGGGTATAATCCCCCCCCCCCCCACTAAATCTTTTTTTTTAAATAAATGGTTCAGTCAAGCCGTAAGCATGGTAAGCGTATTCTAAAGTTTTTAATTTTATTCGATGAGAAACGCTGCCTTATCATGGAACAACATACAAAATACAATAGAGGGAATATGTACATGCCTTCATATAAAGCTTCAACACTTATAGAATGACCATTTGATTCTGAAAGTGGGTGGCAAACTTTTTTCCGAGTCTGATTATTTATTTTCATCCCAATAATAAAGGGATATATTATTTATTTCCAAGTAAAACGATGATAAATTATTTTTCTTCCTCACCAAAAAATAATTACAAGCAAAAACACAACTACACACATACAACAGAACTGTCCAAATGCCAAAACTATTTCGTTAATGTTTGCAGGGGGGGGGGGGGGGGATACAGCAGGCAGGATAAGTTATATTTACATATTTTCTTGTAAGCTGAGGACATATTTTTTATTTTCAACATTTCCGAGGGGAGATTATTTGTTTCAAAATCTGGCAGCACCCCTCTCCTTAATGAAATGGTAGTGCCCTTATCCTGCTCCTTGGACAGAGTGTTTTCTGGTGTTATAACACTTGATCCGATGAAAATATGGAAAGAAAAGAAATCAAATTATTATTATTATTTTTTATTTCTATGAAAATGATACAATGATATTTCAATGTCATCTTGTTCTTCCAGTGCTGAAAAACACGAAGATATGTCTGAAAAATTTAAATGAAAGAAAAATTGTACATGAGAATAATGTCAAGATTTTATGCTCACATTTAGATCGAGCTCGGGATTCAAAAATGATTAGATTGGAATGGCGCCGAAATGTTTATAAATTAAGATAGGGTTTGTTTAGTTGTTACTGTTTTATAGTAAGTACACATAAGAAAAGGTTACCCATTCTGAACTGACCCATCAGATTACGTTTACAGTAAAGTTAAATTCTACTGGAAATTTAGCTTGTGGCAAGAAACAAATATACTCTCGGAATTTACTGTCGAAAACGTGTGAACGTTAGACTCTAACAGGGCCTGTGGCACAGGCACTTGTTTCTGTAATAAATTTTGTAACCCATAGTATAATAATAACACAAGGTATCCAACTCCGAATTACACTGAGTACCCCCTCCCTCAGAATCGCACTCTTTTACAATTTCAGAAGACATGCACTGGCAAACTGTTTATACCTATGTCTTCTACGATAATTTATCTACACAACCATATATGGCAAGCTTGTCTTTATTTTCTTTCATCTCCATAAACAGCGTCAAAACTCTGCTCGCCGAGCGAAAAGTCGAATTCACCCATGGAATGGTATGTGCTAGTCCCGGGCAGAATGCAAAAATTGAAATCAATGAGTAGAGAAATTTAATAATACTTCCCAGATTTTTAGATAAATAAAAGAAATATACTACAAGAAAAATATCGTGAAACTAAAGCTTTGTAACATTTAAAAACAGTCTGAACTCAGCCACTGTAATGTGCTATTTTTATCTGCTCAAAAATCCAAGATTTTTCGTACTTCTCGGGATTTGTCGTGACTTTATAAGATAACCGCTAAAACATACCGGTTGTTGGAATTCACAAACATACTTGGCGGCTTAATTTGAAATTTGTTTAAAAATGGAGCAGCAACAAATTGAGAAAAGATTTTGCTCATGGTATGCATAAATTAACATGATGATAACAATATTTAAATATCAATTATAATAAAAAGGAATTCTTTCAAAGTGCATTGTATGTAAGCACAGAGAATTCATAAATTTCGCAAGCACATGTTCCACCCCCCCCCCCCCCAAAAAAATCGTTTGTACAAACAATAAATAAATTTAAGAAAAAAGAATATAATGTGATAAGAAGTACATGAATTTTTTAAGGGTTATGAATAAAACTAGTAAATTTTAATTCCTCTCTAATGAAAGTAAAGTGTTACAGACATGTAAAAGGGAATTATGGAGCAACGAAACATAAATTCCATGGCAACAAGTTTGTTCAAATCATGACCCCTGGAGTTAGGGTGGGGCCACAATGGGGGATCAAAGTTTCTATAGGAATATATAGGAAAATATCTTAAAAATCTTCTTCTCAAGAACAACAAAGCCATGTTTAGTCACATTGATATGGAAGCATTCTCAGATATTATAGATTCAAGTTTGTTCAAATCATGACCCTCGGGGGTAGGGTGGGGTCATAATGTGGGATCAAAGTTTTACAAAAGAATATAAAGGAAAAAATCTTTCTCTCAAGAACAGCAAAGCCATGTTTAGTCATATTGATATGGAAGCATCCTCGGGTAGTGTAGATTAAAGTTTGTTCAAATGATTACCCCTGGGGGTAGGGAGGGGCCACAATGGGGTATCAAATTTTTGCAAAGGAATATAAATATAGGAAAAAATCTTTAAAAATCTTCTACTCAAGAACATCAAAGACATTTGTTATATTGATATGCAAGCATCCTCAGGTGTTTAAAATTCAACCCCCCCCCCTGTAAATTTTTCAATACTGAATTGATTTGTGCTTTTTCTTAGCCATTATGCTCAGATGAGTGATGCAACCCATGGGCCTTTTGGTTGATTTTGTAGGCTAGCTGAAAATTTGACAGAGGATAAAAGCAAAGTACTGAATTTAAACAACATGTCAATGGACAAAATATTTAATGAAGCATTTCATGTGTTTCCAAACATTAAAGACACATGCAGTTATGACCATTTGTTTAAAATGTTAAAAAAAATGTTTCCCACAATAAAAAAGTCTTCTGTGTGGGAAAACGGAATTAATGGAACAAAAAGAAAACCTGGTGTTAGAGGCTTAGTATTTGAAGTTCTACCTGAAAAAGCTCTCACCTTTGCAGATATATCAACATTTGTTCCAAAGCAGTGGAATGTATTGGAAAGAACAGATGAAAATCTAAAATTAGGATTATTGTCCATTGAAAAATTTAATGGAAATTCTGTCCTCACTGAACTAATAATTAAAAATACAGGTTTTATTGAACTGTTAGTTGCTGGTACATCAGTAGATCTATCCATGTATCTCATTTCCAATTACACAGAGTTTAATGAAACTGCGATTTCAGGCTTGTTCAAAACTTTGCAGACAGTTTCTCTTTGTAATGGAGTCACCTTACAACCTGGTGAAGCTGACTTCTTCTCCAGTGGAAAAAAAACTGTAAAAGAGATTTATGTTTTTAATAAAACAACAAAAACTGTAATCAGGCATGTGGACTGTGTTAGGGTTGTCCCATTAAATTCCAAGTTAGAAAAATGTGCAAAATGTTCAAATTACATAAAATATAAGAAAATATGGCATTCAAGTAAAAAAATTCTAACAGTACCAAGGAAAACATTGATCCAAATTTACACTTACCAACAATTATTCAAGAATTGCAGAAACTGGCACCAAATTTAAGTCAAAACCAACTAATGTTGATAGCTACTCAAATTAAATCATCTGAAAGTAAAAACTCCAGGGGAATGAGATGGCCTAAAGAAATAATTAGTATGTCTCTAACCTTGTACAATAGGAATCCATCTGCTTACAGAGACATTATCAAGAATGGGTGGGTGAATCTTCCATCAGAGAGTATACTGTATCTTTACAAGTCTGCAATTAAACAAAGACCTGGAGTAATTCCTGAGATGATGGAATGGATGAGAAAAGAAGCCATTGACTCAAATATCAGCAAAGAAGGACTGTATGGGGGTATAATTCTTGATGAAATGTCCATTCAAGAGGATCTCCAAATTGTAAATGAAGGCAAAAAGAGTTCCTTGTATGGACTTGTTGAATGTGAACCTGATGTAATGTTAATGCATAATATAAATGAAGGAAAAGTTGAAAATAAACTTGCTAATCATGTTATGCAATATCTGTTTCATGGGGTTACTGGTTTCCGTTGGCCTTTTGCAAACTATCCAACTACACAATCTTCTCCAGTTGATATATTTGTTTCTACATGGAAATGTATTGATGCTTTGTATGAATGGGGATTCAAACCAATATACTGTTGTATGGATGGGTCCAGCAACAATCGCACATTTCTTAAAATGCACTTCCCTGAAAATGACCCTTTGTCTACTGAAATGATTGCTGTGCATTACAAGAACCCTTCAAGGAAAATGATATTTATTATGGATCCATGCCATCTAATCAAAAAACTGCGTAACAGCATACTTAGTAGTGGTATTCAAGAACATCACCAAAGGCTATTAACTGTTGATGGCAAAACAATTCAATGGCAGATGTGGATTGATGCCTTTAACTGGGACCAAGATAATCATACATTTAAAATTCATTACAAGTTATCTCAGGAGCATATTTATCCAAACAATGCACAAAAGATGAGAAATAAATTGGCATTTGAAACCCTGGACTCTGAAATGTTACATTTAATGAAAACTTACAGTAACACTCTTGGTGAAGCTGGGAAAGCTGCACTGTGTGGTGCCATAGAATTTGTGGAGCATACTAGTACACTGGTTTCCTTTTTCCAGGATCAGCGACCTGTTAAGGACATGAGTGATACAAGATTACTACAGCTAATGGAATCATACAACTGGTTTAAGTCATGGGAGAAAGAAGTTTGTCAGAGTGACACAACTGCCAAGCGTTATAAGAGTTTAATCACTATGGAAACCAGAGAGGATCTTGACTTCATGTATTATGGGACCATGTCGCTTATTAAATTCTGTATTGAAAACATTCACACTGAAATTGTCCCTGCAAGATTAAATAGTGACATAATTGAAAATATTTTCTGTCAACAAAGATCTCTATATCATGGACCTACAACAAATCCTACTTACAATTCCTATAGAACTGGTATAAACAGTGTTATAATTGGAGAGACAGTGGTGTCCAGGAAGTCAAATTCTGGGGGAAAACGTGCATCTTCGTTTGTTGCTGAAATGCCCTCAAAAAGAATTAGACTGTAAACGAAGAAGAAATATTGATTGTTAAACATGTCATTTGCTAAATTTGACAGATTAAATGATACATATATTTATTTAGACTAGTAATTAAATATAATAATAATTAGTTGTTATTAATTCTAGGAAGAACTCCAAGGCACTGAAAAAAGAAATCACTTGCATGCACATATAACAGTCCAATAGCAGGAACACTTATAGTGGGGGGGGGGGGTACTTTAAAAATTTTATATTTGGTCAAAAGAGAATTGTGAAAAGGAGTGGATATTATTCAATTTTTTTCTAATAAAAATAAAATTCAAAAGGGGAAATTATAATAAAGCCATTTCTTTAAGGACCCTCTTTACACTGCACACTAAAGAGTTCCAATTCCATGGTATTTTTGCCCAGTAGTTCCTACCACATCCCCCTGTTTTCCAAGGGTCTAAATTATCTAGGTATTAACTTGTTTCATATGTGTTTCTCTTCGGATTTACCTGGTAAGTTTTTTCACAGGATCATTGATCAAATAAACTCCAAACATCACAAGATCAGATATGATGGAAGGTAACATTTATTAGTGGCCATGGAGTGTCAAAAATATCAGACACACCTTCCTGTTTGTCCTAGGAAAAACAGAAAAAAAATTAATGGTGAAATGTACAAAGCTAAAATTAAGAATTGATTGTCAATCAATTATAAACATGTAAACTGCATAAAGAAACTGCAGGGATCTTTCTTATATATAAGTGACATAACTGGAATGTATTTCTATATATATATATATATATATATATATATATATATATATATATATATATATATATATATATATATAGAAATTATAATTATATATTCAGTGCATACTTACTTTTCATTTCATTGAGTCCTGACCTTTATTCACAACACTTCTTACAATACCAGTCTTCATGATCTTTGATTGTTTTAATAGTTTCATCATCTATATTCTGACAAAGTCTATCATACCACTGATCACACTCTAGGTCACACTGAAGCCATTCAACTTCATCATTTCTCACACAGCCACAACTGGAACACACAATTTCATCACCTTTAAGTTCTGCTCCCATAGAATGTGTTTGTTTTTTCTTCTTATTGTAAACTTGCTTGATTTTTCTTTTCCTCCCGGTGGTTTTCCTCTCTGACTGGGTTGGAGCTCTACTAGATGAAACATTTGAAGTATCTTCTTCTACAGGCAAATCTGGTTCTGGGTTGGCACATGTTTCTTCACACTTTGTAAGAGCAGTAACGTTAGGAATACACAGACAGTTAGGAATATGACGAATAAGGCTGTCAATTATTGAAGATTTTGTACTTTTCATTGACTGTGTTAAGTCATAGGCTTTAGCAATATCAAGTAGTTGTTTTTTAGTGAAACTTCTGAAAGTTAAAGCTCCTCTATCAAGTAGTGATGATTGAATTTTCAAATGGGAATGGTGTTTACCTTCAGAGTCATCATTGATCATTTGGGTCATGGAGATTTTGGTACCAGTACTGTCTTTTGATGTACTTGATCCCTCTATCACCCGCTTTCTCAAAGTGTCTGTTTTTTGTTTTTTTAAAGCTCTTAGCACATCTTTCCGAAACTGGTTATCAGCAACACGACAAAATCTCCATATCAAGTCAAAATAAAGTTCTTTTAAACTACTCAGTGCCATATTTTTATCACATTTCAAAAAAGTTTCATTGAATTCAAAGTTTTGTAACAAATGTTCAAACTTGTTGATTAAAGCCTCATTCTTGGAAAGCTCATCTTGTACAGAATTTAAAACATTAGAACCTTCTATATGAAATATCTTTTCATAAAGTTCATGCCTAATCTTGTCCACTTCTATAAAAAAATCTAAAACATTGTCCTTCACATTTGTTAGACTCTGAGAAATGTTTTGGAGTCTTCTCGTCTCTTCAAGAGTTTCTTTATACATACTGTTTTGTGCCAACTCGTCGTATGTAGATGTTAAAAAATCCAACATTTTAACTTTTACAAAACAGGAAGTAACATTCATTAATTTGTCTTTCTTATACATGTTATTTCTCCCTAATTTGATGTAATGATGCTTTGATTTGGCAACACATCTCCCACAGATATATATTTATTATCTCAATTTGCCTACACTTGCCGAGTCAACTTTCAGATAAAGTTGTTTTTGAACTGGTGCAGGAGTAGCTTTTAATGATTTTGCCTTTTCCCCCAAAATAAAGTTTGAAACAATATCAAATACTTTGCTAAAAATCACAAAATCATACTGTTCTGCATTGTGATGAATACATTCTTCAATTAATGCTTTGTACTCACCAGAACTTGTAAACTTATACAATTCACAGTAATATTTGGTCCACATTTTAGAATCAGGATTTTTTCCCTCACTTGCTACACAGTTTTCAAGATATATTACTGTGAGTTTCTCATAAAGTTTCTTCAAAAAAATTTTTGTTCCACTTTCATTTCTTTCAAGAAGATCAGTCAGTCCTGCATGTGTAATTCTCTGTTCATCAGTCTGTACATGCATATTTTGTATACATGATCTTATCTTGTTCATGTCTATGGGACATTCTGTGTGATACTCCTCTGAGGAATCTTCTGGAGTAACATGAAAGGGAACATTTTCTGATGATGGTAGAGTACACATTCTATCAATTTTGCGTATTTCTTCTGCATCAAAGTCTGACATTTCCGACTCAGAATTTAGGAATGGGCTGTCAAATTCAGTATTTAATTCTTCTTCCAGTGAAAATGAAATATTACAACATGCCAGTTGTGGAAGGAAGGGAAATGTTGCTTTATCATAGAAACCAAAAATAGCTGCATCTGGTTTTAGAACATTGCAAGGCTGGAAGTTTATTAATCTCAGACCTTTCTTTTTTCTTGCACGCCCAATTGCAACTCCTAACATGCCCGCTTTGAATATATGTGAACAATCTACTTCCACTCTGTCCAGAGATAATCCTTGAGCTTTGTGTATTGTTATTCCAAAGGACAAAACCAATGGAATCTGTAATCTACTAGCTACAACCTTGTCATCTACAGAACTATAAACAGTGAAAATTTCTTTTCTTATTTCTGTCACAGTGTTATTAAATTTTACAGTCACAGCATTATCTGACATACTTAGAACTCTTCCTTGAAGACCATTGACCAATGTACTGCTCAAATTCTTGACAAGCATAACAGGGCAATTTTTTTTAAGATACAAAATTTTTGGTGCAGGGAGTTTTTCTAGCAAATTAGTGTTACCCTCATCTGTTACTTTAAATATATGCATATCTCCTGGTAGGTCAATTAACAGTGAGGAATTATATATTTCTTTGTCAAAATTTCTAGCGAAAAGTCTTATGGGATATCTTCTCCAGGGGGAAGAGATCTTTGCAGACGCGTAAGTAGATTCAAAGTGTCAATTGGTATCTTGCCTTTAGAAACATCGTTTATGGCTTTGACAAAATCTTGTTCATCTTGTCTAATTACTTTGTCCAAAATAATTTTATGTCTAAATACACTTGAAAAAATGCTGGATTTAAAGCAAAAATCACCAAAGTCTTGTTTTAACACGTCGGGAACAGGGGGGTAACTGGAAAAAGTCGCCACATCCTACAACTTGAATTCCTCCAAAATAATTATCATTTCCTCTCGTCATTCTGCATATATATTCTAATTGGTTGAACAGTTTTAAAGAAAGCATTGAAATTTCATCAATCACTAAAATGTCAGTTTTTAGTATGTTTTCTTTGTACTTGGCAAAATGTTCATCATTGAATATTTTAGTTTGAAGTTTTTCATTAGAAAACCGCCCATCTCCAATGCCTGCATGACCATGAGTGAATAGTCACCCCACCGATGTGCAGCGATGCCACTCCTGTAGTCCCCGTTATTGCAACGAGTTTAGCAGAGTTCTTGAACTTTTCTCTAATTTTCTCGATTAAAAAGCTCTTTCCAGTTCCACTCTGTCCCAGAATTAAAAGATTGTGTCCGTTATTGATGGCGTTAAACGCGTCTTCTTGCTTTGGATCCATTTTGACTTGTTTACTTTCTGTTTGCTATAAATAACCATAAATTTTCCAATGCTATTTAAGAAACATCCTCATAGCCAATCAAAACCGACATTGCATTCTGCCCGGGACTAGCACATACCATTCCATGGGTGAATTCGACTTTTCGCTCGGCGAGCAGAGTTTTGACGCTGTTTATGGAGATGAAAGAAAATAAAGACAAGCTTGCCATATATGGTTGTGTAGATAAATTATCGTAGAAGACATAGGTATAAACAGTTTGCCAGTGCATGTCTTCTGAAATTGTAAAAGAGTGCGATTCTGAGGGAGGGGGGTACTCAGTGTAATTCGGAGTTGGATACCTTGTGTTATTATTATACTATGGGTTAAAAAATTTATTACAGAAACAAGTGCCTGTGGCCTGTGGTTAGAAATATATACCTAGCGTACAGCTATGATGATAAACCATACGAAACGTATACACTCTTAATCAAGTTAATGGGACAATTAAGTAGGTAAAGAATGTGACGTAAACGACTTGTGTTTATAATAAAAATTTTCACAACTTCGTCTTAAAATTAACGACTATTGTCACAACACACCCGTGGGTGAAAGGGATTTAAGTGACTGAGATAATAAACAAATTTATAGTAAATATTAAACGGCATCTTTCGAAAATCTTTTTCTCGAGAATCAAAGTTGAAACATGTGAAAGCTTCGCAATCAGGTCAAGGCAGCCTTTATTTTTGAAGGAGATTATAAGAAAGCGGTCTTGCCACCTACCGGTCTTTTCAAAACAAAGGGCATTTAACTCTTAACCAAACAAAGAACAGAAACTCTTTCATTCAATTATATATATATATATATATATATATATATATATATATATATATATATATATATATATATATATATATATATATATATATATATATATATATATATATATATATATATATAATTCTTTATTTTTGTTGTACACATTCTGCTATTTCATACAAGTTAAACATATATTTAAAAGAATATACAGAATGTGTAGTTTTTTTTTTATTTTAGAGAGAGAGAGAGAGAGAAAGAGAGAGAGAGAGAGAGAGAGTTGGAGGAGGAGAAAAAAAGGGTTGCATGCATTCATAAAATATAAACAAATATATATTTGTATGAGTCATTGAAATAATTGATTCCAACAGTTCCAGCAGGTGTCAAACATATCCTTTCATCTTTGTTATAAGCAATATATTTTTGTGTTTCATAAAATGTATTCATAAGCGATATCGCAGCAGTTACTACATTAAGTGTCTTTCCTGTGCATTCAATTTCTTATGTATCTCAATTCTTGCATAAAGAGCTAAATCAACGAAGGGGCTAAATCGGCCTATTTTTTCAAGAAAATTAAATTGTTTGGAGGAAGAAAATTAACAATTGAAATATTATCCTTGGGTATCAAACTTAAGTACCAGTCCATAGAAAAATCAGACAAAAGGTGATACATGAAGATTCTCAGAATCTGATGATTTTCCACACATAGATTTCTCATGCAATATGATCCATGTATGTAAAATAAA